GAAAACACCCAGCTGCTCTGGGGAAGAAAGAAAGCCCTGGCAATCTGCTTCCAGAAAGACTATAGCCAAGAAAACCCTATGGGGCAGTTCTACCCTGTCACTTGGGGTCACTATGAGTCAGAACTGACTCAACGGCACCCAACACAACAACAATCTTTATGGGAGAAGGTCACCAGGTTTTTTTCCCGTAGAGCTGCTGGGTAGGTTCAAACCACCAACCTTTCGGTTAGCAATCCAGCGCTTAACGATTTGTACCACTATGGCTCCTTATGGGTGACATAGAGCAATCTATATCTAAGTTAAAATAGATAACCACACAAGGAGTCCTTGGGATTTGTTATCTTGTTCAAGCCTGGGAAATCTTGGATCATTCACCTGCATACCCCCAGTTTCTCACAAAATGTCTGGCCCAAAGCAGGCTCTAGTGCCTTCAGTAAAATTAAATGAATGAGTAGATAGTAGTGTGAGAAGTCACAGCAACCATTGGAATAGGGAAAAATAGTTAAAATTAGCTAATTTCTATAACTTAGTATTTTCTAATTTTCACCGGGAAAATTTAGTGCAGTCTGCATCTTTGAAGAATCTTCTTAAATTATTTGACTTATTTTAAGAAATAAGACTATTGAATTACATGTAATTGGTCCCATGAATCATTAAACTACTCTCAAGTTATATATCATGGTAGAAGAGATCCCTATTTATGAATTATAAGAAACAAAGTGTGAAATTTAAAAGCTGAATTAAAAATATTCATTTTCCTGAGAAGATATGAGAAACTTAACAACTTCTCCAAAAGAATTTCCCCAATATGCCAATTTTTCTTTATAGCCAAATGTAACATATTGTAATGAAAATATACATTCACTTATAAGCCTGTTTTTTTTTCATTAATGTCAGACTCTTTAGAGCATAGGTAGAAAGTAGCTATCTCATACAATATTTTTAAGTATACTTTAACAAATTCTACTTTCAGTAAGAAATGCCATTTTCCAAAGAAGGATGGTTTCTCATTTTCACTAAAATTCAGTCAAAATATCTGCCCCTGAAAACAAAACACCTACTTAAAGGCAATGCATTTACTCTTCTGAGTATTTCTACTAATTTTGGGTATTCTGTTCCTGTTGGTTTTCCTTTTCACACCTACCGCTAACCAACAACACATTGCCATGTATTGCGTGCTTGCTCTGTGCCTGACATGGCACCAAGGGGCAAGTGTGATCTCATTGTCCATTCATGTATGAGACTGAAAGGAATTTGAAACAATAGGGATCATTAATACATAGATAAAAATTAGTACAGGATATGTATATTCTGGAAGACCATAAAAATAAGATTTGCAAAATAGTCTGGATATTCTGATCCAAGAGTGACTGCTTGCCCATTGTTATTAGCTAAAGGAAGAATCTGAGCTGTTGCCTAGTTCAATTTACTTGAATATTACAAGTGACTTTTGCACACATGATAGACGATAGTACGTTAAATCTTTAGAATGATAATTGCATTAATATCCAGGCAAGGAGGATATCTTTTTATACTGTACCAAGTTAAAGAGTCGTAATCATTGCTGGTGATCATTCAATAGTGGACAGATGAGGTACACACAGTGGAGGACCTCCAGGGAGGAAAATATCTGACTTTGTTTTCTTTTTGAAGAGTCCAGCTCCTGATTAAAAACCTATGTGTGATTTGTCAGGCCTGACCACAGGCAATTACAAAGGTTTTACCCAGCAGGCCACAGGGTGAAAACTATCCTCCATAATCAGACTTGGTGCACAGCCAGTGCATTGCAGTCTCTAAAAGGAGTCAGCCAAGGACTCGGGCCCCTTGACCAGCCATGCTCTCTTCCATATCTGCATGCCTAGTCCAGGTACCTCAATATGGAGTTCTCTTTATCAAGGGCCTTTGGCAGAGACCTTCCTCAGGTGCCTCTGCTGAAGCCTCCTTAATGGGAGAAGGTGGGTGGGGGGTCCTTGAAGACACTGTTTCCCTACTCTGTCACAGTACTCACTCAGTTCTTTTCCACCACTACCCCTCCCCTGCTCCGAGGTCCATAAAACCGCAGGAGCCTTTTTTTTGGGACTTCCTCAGCAGTAAGATGGTCCCCACATCTGCACTGATCAATCTGACCCTCACCTGGGCACTGTTCCTGTAGAAATATGGCATAGGGGATAGCCTGTGCTATCTCAGGTTTGACCTCTTGCTTGTACTCTTGTTTATCATTGATTGCTTTTAATCAATTAAAGACTTGATTGTTACTTGCATTTTGACTTGTCTTAATCAGCTACTTCAGACACTTGGCAGCTCAGTATAGCTCTCTCAGCTCAGCTCAACTCCCTGACACCTTTATTACAAAATATATTTTTAAAATGTTTTTACTGTTTTAATAATATTTTTCAATAGAATAGAAGCTGTTTTCCATTCATGAGACAAATCTTAATTAAAATGAATACTGAGCAGTGAGAACAATGCATTGGGGAAAATTTCAAAGAATGTAGACAAGAGAAACACTCTTGTATCTCAAAGCCAGGACTTCAGACTTCTAAGATTGGCTTGAGAAAGAGTTCAGTTTTGTCTTTGAGACTTTTCGTAGGTCAGCTGGGGGTCTCAGCTGAATAGCAGAGAGGAATGACTATTAAGTCAACCCCAGTTCTCAAACAAAATAGAGACCTAAGGAGACTTGCTTACTCAAGAAAAAGAGGTGAGCAGAGAGCACAGACTATGTAGGAGGAGAAAGATTTCAAAGAAAGACAAATTTTGCAGGGGAGGGAAAGTTTGGGGCCAAAGGAGGTTGGAAAAACTTTTCCAAGCCAGACTAGTCCATGACCTCAACCACAAGATAAACATTACGATGAGAGAGCATTAGACCCACAGGTAAAAAACCTGGATTCTTACTGTGGTTTCTGTATTAAGTAATCAGGTTGACCTAGGTGAGCCCCTTCTCTCTGATTGTCTCACTTTAACAAACACTTATTAAGCATCTATTATGTTCAAGGCACTAGATATGCTCCAGGACAGTTTCTCAGTGGGTGGAACAAGGACTAAATACATCAGAACCTGCTAGGTCCCACTCTAGAAATACTGAATAGGAATCTCTGGAGGTGAGTAATTCTTGGGTAATTTTTAGGCACATTAAAGTTTGAGAACCAGTTTTCAGCTAGAGAATAAAAAGTGAGTGAGATTCAGTCTGTACTTTCAAAAACATTCTGATTTAATTTCCTTTAAAAAAAAAAAAGGCTTTTGTTCTAGATGATTTATGAAACCTTTCTGACACTCGTTTTAGTTTAATTTTTTTTTCCAGTAAGATGAACAGTTTGTGAGGTACTCTCAATTAATAACTTTAATTATTTGACAGGGTTTTACTTACCCAGTCATTTTCAATGTGTTTTGAATAAGCCATGTAATTTCCTTGTATACTGTTATTTGGAAACAAGTTAAAAACAAACAAAAAAGTCAAATAACAACCGGGAATGTTACGCTCTTTGATAATTTCCCACAGCACCCATGGAGGCACGGGATCAGGAGTCCGTGAACTGGGTTCAGCCTACAACTCGTTATGTGAACTTGGGCACATTACTTTGTCTCTCTAGCTTCCTCTTTCTGAGATGAGGGGTTAGACTACTCTGATGACAAAGTCTCTATGTCTCTATCACTCCTTAAATTTGTGAATAATATTTGTATAACACCTCTCATCTGTGAGCTTGTTATTAAAACCCAAAAAACAAACCTGTTGCCATGAAGTCAATTCTGACTCATAGCAACCCTATAGGACAGAGTAGAACTGCCCCATAGGGTTCCCATGGCTGTAATCTTTACAGAAGCATACTGCCACGTCTTTCTCCCTTGGAGTGGCTAGTGGGTTTAAACTGACCTTTAGGTTAGCAGCTGAGTGCTTAACCACTGGGCCACCAGGGCTCCTCCAGGTTGTATCGGGGTCAGTGAAAAACAAAATTCATACATATGAACCTTGCTCTTAGGAAACATCAACTGATATAATCAATCCATCTGAGTCCCATTGATTTTGCTAGTGAACCATTGCTTACATTCATTTATTCCCCTCCATTGCTACTGCAGCTGCCCTAGTCCATGCCCTTTGAAAGTACTCACTTGGGCCAATGTAATAGCTTCCTAACTTCTGTGTGTAACATTGTCTCTCTACACTCCTCCATACTGCCACCAGAGGCACCTTTCTGAAACACAGATACCATGATGTCATTCACCACTTGAAAATCTTCACTCGTTCTCCTGGGCTTAAAGCCAAATTCCAAACACTTAGGAAGAGGTCATACAAAGGCCCTTTACCATCACTGCCAGAGCACTTGTCCAGCCTCATTTCTTGGTTTCTCTTCTACCTATCTCCACCCAACCCCAAATACTTGTTCCACGGTTTTCCCCAAATGTATTATAAGCTTTCATGTTTCCCATGTTCTACTTTCTGTCTGGAGTTCCTTTCATCACTTTGTATGCCTAACAAGCATTAAATTACTTTATAAATATGTCTATTATATTAATAATTTTGTTAAATTATATTTTTTCCACATTCTTCCCTGATGCATTTTAAGCAAAATAAAATCTGGGACTATGTTTCTTTTATCTGTGCACGTGCACTTTTAGGGCCTACAATAATACCCTCACACACAGTAGACACTAAAGAAATGTTTTTAAACATTAACATAAAATCAGGTGACTGGAAATACCTGCAAATACAATTTTTAAAGAGAAAAACAGAAAATAACTCTATAACAGAATATCCTACCACACTTCAATTCACTTTTATTTAGATTTAAACGAATTCTCGTTTCCAATATAGATCATAGATAACTCAGAAGAGAGTTGTGCTTATTCTCTGACATGAGCAAAATAAAGTGTACTCTGTAAGTGAACACTGAAAAGGACATGAACGAATCACTCACATGCTGTAACTGGAGCACGGCTTTGGAGGAATGAGCACCCTAGAAAGACCAATAACCACGGAAAAGGTGTACAAGTGAGGCTGCTCCTACCTGTTAGATCTGCATTGGGCCACCACCCCAAGTCGCAAGCTTTGCAGGTGAACTCATCTTGCACATATTCATTCTCCTTGCAGGCTGTACAAATCCAGCAGCAGCTCACTTCCCCTTTCCGTATGACCTGCAACATAGGGATATTTTATATCTCTTAAAGATGCTTTCTCCAGAAAGGCTTCTATTTCAGATGAGGACTGGTTTTCGTACTATGATTTAAAAAAAAAAAAAAATTGAAAAAGATTTTACATGCTAAAAAACCTTAAGAAGGTTGTTTGGAATATACCTCATTCTCTTTAGACTTCAGATATGAATGTCAATTCATTCCATTCTGGGTTTGGAGGCTTTTCAGTAAAAATTTATTTTATAAAATGAAATGATTACACATTCTAGCAGAGTTAAAAATGCAACAATTCAATTTTATCCTTGTTTCTATTAATACTTATTATTCTCAGAAATGTAAGATTTATGCATTTTTTTCTTCTCTGAAAAATCAAGTAGTGTTTACCACAAACGTTCCTATATAATAAGACCACATTAATTCATAAAAACTGAGGAATTACGAAATTTTGTTGTAATCATGAAAGTCTAAGTTACAGACAATTTCTTTCAAAAGTAACTTTATACACATAAAAACAAATTGATGGCTAAGAAGTATAAGCAATTATTCACATTTTCAATCTGCTTAGTAAGAGTTTAATACTTAACACAAAAATAAACATCATAACACATTGTAATTAAAGGGAAGTTTTGTTTTTTTTTTTGTCAGTACATAATTAGTTCTTGCTTTTATGTCCAATTGGGGTCCTGGCAGCACAGTGGTTAAGAGTTCAGCTGCTAACCAAAAGGTCAGCAGTTTGAATCCACCAGCTGCTCCTTGGAAATCCTATGGGGCCATTCTACTCTGTCTTACACGGTCGCTATGAGTCAGAATCGACTCGATGGCAATGGTTTTCTTTTTTTTTGATTGACAATTTCTACCTTTTATTGAAGTATTTAGTACGTTTACAATTTAATATAATTATCACTGTGGTTGGATTTAAATCTATCATCTTGTTAGGTTTTCTTCTGTCTGTCCCATCTGTTCTTTCTCTTTTTTCCCCTGTTTTTCTGCATCTTCTGGATTAAATGACAACTTTTTATTGTTCCATTTTATCTCTAATAGGGGCTCACTAGCTAAGCCTGTTTGTTTTATTGTTTTAGTGGTTGTTCGAGAGTTGACAATATGTACCATCAACTTATCACAGTCTATATTTAGATAATATTATACACTTTATATACAATGTAAGAACCCTACAGCAATATTCTTCCATTCTGCCCCCATGCTTTGTGTTACTGTTGTAATACATTTTACTATACATACTTTATAACCCCCGTAGTGCATTGTTATTATTTTTGCTTTAAACAGTCAATTATCTTTGCAATACATTTTTGAAATTAAAAAAATTATTGTTTTATGTGTAACACACATAACACATATACATTTACCATTTCTGGTCTTTTCCTTCCTTTTTTTTTTAAATCTGGTATCATTTTCTTCTGTCTGAAGAACTTTTTTTTAACATTTATTGTAGTTCTGGTCTGAGAATTCTAACTAATCTCAGCTTTTATTTGCTTGAAAAATATTTTAACTTGCTTTCACTTTTGAAAAATATTTTCACGTGGTATTGAAGCTTAGATTGACTTTTTTTTTTTCCTTTCAATGTTTTAAAGACGTCATTCCACTGACCTTGAGAATAAAATTCTAGGTTGAAATTTTTTTTTCTTCAAAAATTCATTTTTCTCACTTTGTTTATAGTTGTTTTTTTTTTTTAGTTTCAACCATTTTTTGTGGTAAATACGTTTGTAACAAAACTTTTACCATTTCAACATTCTTCAGTGTGCAATTTAGTGACATTAATTGTATTCATCATGTTGTGTGACCATGAGAAGTCTGCTGTAATTCCTATTTTGTTCTTCTGTATGTAACGTGCATTTTTTTTTTTAATCTGGCTGCTATTAAAAATTTTCTTTTTAGCACTTTTTTCCCAATTTAATTATGTTTTCTTTATGTTTATGTTCCTTGGGATTTTTTTTAGCTTCATGGATCTGGGGTTTATATTTTTCATTACATTTGAAACATTTCAGCCATTATTTCTTCAAGTATTTCTTCTTGCCTGCGTCTCTCTCCTGTTCTTCTGAGGCTTCAGTTGTCCACAAGAAATAACTCTTAATATTACTATTCAAGTTACTGAGATTCTGGTCAGTTCCTCTTTTTTTTTTCTCTCTCTCTCTCTCTCTTTCTGTGCCTCATTTGGCTGCTTTCTATTTCTGTGTTTTTAAATTCACTGATCTTTTCTTCTATAATCTTAATATGCTGCCAATCCCATCCATTAAAATAATCTTTTTTAATATTTTATTGTTCATCTCTAGAAGTTCCATTTAGTTCTTTGTTTTATATCTTCTATTTGTCTTCTCATTATATTTATGTTTTCTTGTTAGTTTTTTAACATGTGTAGAGTAGATGTTTTAATGTCCTTTATTGCTAATTCTATCATCAATATTATTTCTGGGACTGATTGATTTTTCTCCTGGTAAAGTGTCATATTTTTACACTTTGTTATATTTCTGAAATTTTTTTACCAGATGTTGGACACTGTGTACATTAAGATGTAGAGTGATGTATATATAATTTTTTTTAATTTTTTATTTATTTTTT